TACCAGTAAATTGAAAATACCTTCTGATAATGAATTTTGTGTAAGACCATGTCTGCGACATTGGCGTGGAATTAGATGCTCTAATTTTAGGTTATAAACACATATTTCTGAGTCTGCATTCTTTACCCAGGATTCTTCATTTCCATCATCATACTGTATCTTGAGTGTAATTAATAACTACAATACCAACAGTCAGTAATGATGTCTGCTTCTATGGGGAAAAAAAACAAAGAAAAATAGTAAGTAAGAAAGAAAATAGCAAAAAGAAAGAAAAGAAGAAAAATTATAAATAATCTACTTCTTTAGTACAAAATTATTTTTCTGTATATCCTCTTATGTGTATAATGTTAGATTGGGAGCTGCTATTAAGCTGTTTATACTATACATTGTATTTATACTATACACTGTATATGTGATCAAGTGGCAGAATAGTTGAGTTCATGCTGAAGCAGAACATAACTTGTTGTTTTTGTACAACAACAAACAAGATATATGTAAGCTTAAGTGTAAATGTGACTAGATTTATACTTTGTGTCATGAATGAGTATGGTTTGTTGAATAAGCCACAGTCAAATGTAATTCCAGATAGTCCTCAACTTACAATTGGGAGCAGGATAGCCATTAATAAGGAAGGTGGTTGTTAAGGGAATCATGCCTGATTTTACAAGCTTTTTTCCCCATGGCTGTTAAGTAAATCACTGCAGTTAAGAGAATCACAGTCGTTAAATGAATCCAGCTTGTCCAATTGAGTTTGAAGTCGGAAGTTGGCTGGGATGCTTGCAAATGGTGATCAGATGATCCCAGGATGCTGCAACCATGGTAAATACATGCTAGTTGGCAAGCATCTGAATTTTGAACATATGACCAGGGAGATACTGTGATGGTTGTTAAGTTCAAGGACTGGTCATAAGTCACTTTTTTCAGTGCTTTTGTAACTTCAAACCATGATTAATGTTTGTTAGTCAAGGACCACATGTATACAATATGCTGTAACTGAGTAAAACAAAATGTATTATGGCTTAATACCAGGGTTTTTTAATATGATGCTCATGGACACTGGCGTGGTGTATTTCACTCTCCTTATCCTTGGAACTTCCAATCCCATCCAACTTTTTTGTTTTTTTGCTTAGACTATGGCAACCATTTTGTGAAGGGCAAGCATCCTTTACAATAGCTGCTATAGCATCCATACTAAACTTTCAAAATTTCAGATTAGCTCAATGGCCAGAAAAATTGGAGACCTATGGCTTAGCATGAGATCAATTTCTAGACACTGTTGCTTAACAGCATGTTTCTAATACAGGTAGTTTTCGACTTATGACATTAATTTCTATTAGTAAGTGACACATTTGTTAAGTGAGTTTTGCCCTATTTTATGACCTTTCTTGTAACATTTCTTATGTGAATCACTGCAGTTCTTAAGTTAATAACTTGGTTGTTAAGTGAATCTGTCTTTCCCATAGGGTTTGCTTGTCAGAAGATTGCAAAAGGTTATCACATGATCCCAGGACATCGCAACTGTCATAGATATGACATAGATATGAGTCAGTTGCCAAGCCTCTGACTTTTGATCATGGAGTCATGGGGATGCTGCAATGGTTGTAAGGGTGAAAAAGGACCATAAGTCATTTTTTTCAGTGCCATTGTAACTTGGTATGGTCACTAAACGAACTGTTGTAAGTCAAAGACTACCTGTAATGGCAAGCATGTTGTAGGCATATGTATGTATTCTACTTTCTCTTCCCTGTGTTGGAAGTGTGGGAGGCAACACATTCTTGAAAGAATATTGGATTTAAAATTTCCTATATTTGAAACAAAAACTTATGCACATATGTCGTATCAAAAGTACATTGACACAGCATGATGTCAAGAGCAATAAGGAAGCACATTATAAAGTTCCCTACAGGAAAGAATTTGTGCAGGGTTGCCAAGTAACTTATCCTTCATATTCTGGCTTTTAAAATCCAAGGTACTTAATAGTTTAAAATAGCTTTGGTCCTGCTAGCTAGACCAAAGATTCAGCATTCTTCCAAATATAGTAATTGAAATAACTTAATCGTTAAATTAGATCATCATTTAAAAAAACATATAGATAATGATAACTAAAAATGCACTTCATCCTTGTTTAGAAATGGCTCTTTAATATTTAAATTATGTCATAATTGTACTGTCTTGCCATTTCTTATATTTGTTCATTTACATAATTTTTTAACTGCATTAGGCCAATAAGATAACTGAAATCCATTTTCTTTTCAGTAACTAAATAAATTAACTCTACTTTCAGTGAGTAAATGAATTAGTTTCTGTTCACTGGTTATATATCATTTAATGTAGAAAAATAATGAACATCAATATGAGAATTTGATGATATATTATTTTTTAATAATGGATCATATCTCAAGAACTGGATACTTAGAGAAAAATATTTTGTGTTCCTTTTTCTTCACTGTTGCAATTGATCCAATTAAAAACATCATTAATTGGAATAGTTGTCTTATCCTTTTCAGGTCAAAGAGCTTGGTTGGTTTAAAAAAAATTCTGATCAAAAGTAGAGTTTTAGTGATAGAAAACTGACTGTGTTCAAGTGAACTCTGACCTCCCCTATAGTCTTTCCTAGAACCCCACATTGAAGTTCTTACAGAACCTAAAGTTCTGTAGGATCAGGGGTGGGCTTCTGGAGATTCGCAGGGGTTCGGGAGAGCCCCTAGCTAAGATTATGTACAGTTCGGAGAACCTCCAAATCCCACTCCTGGCTGATTCCGCCCACCCCGCCCCTCCCAGGAGTCCCCATGCAGCCCATTTTGGATGCAGGTAAGTGCACAGAGGCTTTGGGAGGGTGAAAAATGAGAAGTTCAGAAATGGGCCTGTTTCTGGCTTCCAGAGAGCCTCTGGAGCCAGGGAGGCCATTTTTGCCCTCCTGGAGGCTCGAGGAAAGCCTCCGGAGCCCAGAGAAGGCAAAAACGCCCCCTCCTGCCATGGTGCAGGAGGCTGAGTAGGGCATGTCCACCATGGCCACGCCTACCCAGCAACTGGACAGAGAACCCTTTGCTAAAATTTTTGAAGCCCACTCCTGTGTAGGACCCAGTTTGAAAAATTGTAGAGAAGCAAAGTTGACCTTAGAGGAGGTATGTGTTCTGTCCTGGTCTTCCCCAAAAGCACTAAGCCAACTCTTGAGTCCCGTCAAAATCTCTTTTATTAAATTAATGTGAATTTAGTGCATTCACATTCAGCCAACGGCTTGGCAAACAGTCTTGCAAAGGTATACTAATTAGCTCAGAACTTATGTATCCTGGAAAGCTGCCCGGTAAATATTTCCACACGCAGTGCTGACAGGGAAGGGCTGGGTTACACAGACAAGTCTTCACGAGGCTGGAACGAACGAATGAACGAGCAAGTTGTTTCCTGCAAAAAAAACCTCCCCTTTTGCTTCTCTTTTAATCCTGATGGGAGGGGCCATTCATCGTCCACTTGTGGCCTTATTCCCACATCGACCCTGAGTTCTTAATTGTTCCTTCCTTTTGGCAGCTCTGCGCATGCGCAGGCTGGGAACCGGTTCCAGAAGCTCCCCAGCCTCACTGCTGTCTGAGCCCTAAGGCAGCTGATGACTGCCAGTCTGCCTTGGCCCCATCTCTGCCCCTGACGCAGAGCCCTCATCCAAGCCTTCCTCAGCCTCCAGGACTGGCCCAGGTTCCTTCCCAACCTCGTTGCTGTCCGATTCTGCTGCCAGCTCCATCAGCCGCTGGCGGGCCACAACAGTATGTGGAGAGTGTTAGCAAATCATGAGCTAGATCTGCATAATAAGGAAGCATGAGAAAGAAACTTAAAATTGCCATGCCTTGAATCTCTTCGGTATAAAAGGGAAAGAAAATATGTTGCCAGGTTTTCATGACTCTATTATTGTGGCCTACATCAATATAATAAGATTCTAATATTTTTTTGTGTCTGTTTCCTGAATTGGCCTATCTTGAGGAGCTGGCATAAGCCATAGTATGGAAGATGATCATAAACACCATGACATAGGCATCAGGGCTGGTAGATTTAACTAATAAAAATTAAATACACCTAGTCCTTTACCTATGACAATATTTGCAATTGAAACTTGTGACATCACATCTTACAACTGTATTGCTTAGTGGCAGAATTTCCAGTCCCAGTTTACCATTGGTAAATGAGACTATCTGTGTCTGGCTGCTCAAAAAAATCTGAAGTCCTAGATGTGTACGGTCACATGTTTTTCCAATGTCCCACTACCTGACTGTGTGTGAAAGTATTTAATTATTGAATAGCAGCTTGGAAAATTCCTAACTGTGGAGTGCTCTGCCAAAATGTATTAATATATTACTAAAACTGCATGCCCATTGTTAAGGAATTGCGTAGCTGATGTCCAATTGGATTCAGAGACGCTGACAAGAACTTTTGGTTTTATATAAATTAATATATTTACAGTAAATAAGGGAGAAAAACAGGGGCATAGTCAGGTAAATCAATACAGTAAGAACATTATCGGGTAAATCACAGAGAGCACACACAGCACCTAGAGGAAAAAAGACGGGAAACAAGGAAACTTCCCCTTTTTGCTCACAACAACCAATCACAGCTCAGGTTGCTTCCTGTAGTGGCCAGCTGTCTTTAACCAATTAGCTATAACTGTGTTCTTACTCATTCTTCACTGCTCCAGCTATTAAATTTTAAATATAATAACATCCATGTATATTTATTATAATCTGCATACATCACTTTTAAAATCTGGACTTGGATACTAACATTCTTGCAAATAATATTACCGAGTTTTTCTAATAACTTCTCCCCATGTAGGTAGCACCAAGTTGTGGGACTAAGAAAGCTAACAGATTTCACTTTCACTGACTAATAATCCTGTTTAAACTAGAATAAAATGGTTCTTTAAAAAAATAAGAACCATTTTGTATTGAAAATAAGATTAGTACTTACGAGTCTTTTTAAGAAATTTCTTGCTTTAAAAAATTTGTTATCATTTTGGGATGATATTTTAAGCAGTAAATTATGCAAGTCCAGCTAAACCATTTCCTGTTTAAACAAAGAAAGAAAGGGGGAAAATGGAATAACATTCACTTCCTGAATGATAGCATTCCAGTTCTGGCTACAGTATAACTGCCAATCAGAAGCCTTCTTAGAAGGATAATTTCAAATGCTGTTTACACGTTTTGTGATTTCTCTTTCTCATTCCTGGTGTTGTACCACTTGAAAAATGTCTTGATTCGTTTTGCTGGACAGCTGTATGAATGACCATAAAAGTTTACTTTCTGCACAGGATAGCAACATGAAGGGAAAGGATTGTGTGCTCCTCTGTAATTTCAGGTATGGTAATTACCAGGTTGTGACGACAGAAAAAGGCATATTTTTTTATGTTTTCCTAAGGAAAGCTTTCTTCAAAAAAAAATTTTTTTTTATTAAAGCTTACAAATAGATTTAAAAAACTAAGAAAATATTGAAAATTTTAAAAAAGAATAGTAAAAAAAAAAGATAGAAAAGAGAGAGAAAAAGATAGAAGATAGAAAAGAGAGAGAAAAAGAAAATATATAAAAAATAACTCCTTAAGATTATATCTTGAATGTTGACTTTGTTTTTCAAACATAGTTTTAGTTCTAATTATTTATATTGCTATGTTGGCATGCATCAGTTACTAGGAAGAGACGGCAATAAATACTCTTCTTGAAAAATTGAAACATGAAGTACAAATTTAAAACTATTGCACAGTTTGAGAAAATAGCAGTACAAGAAATTATATAGATGAGGGTATTAGCTTGTCAAGCATCATGTTAAAGTGTAAGAAATTGTATTAAAAGTAATCTAGTTTGGCAGCTTATAAAATGAAATGAGACCTTTATATGGTTCCAGATATTGTAACTTAGAGTACTCTTTTGGAAAAATCTTTGTATACGGAAAGGGGACTATATAATTATTTATATTGCAGTTATAAAGTTATAAAGCAATACACAGTTTATATAAACTATAAACAGTAAAAAGAAAGTTAAACAGAATTCCTGGGAGGTTAATGAAATTACGGGTAATAAGATTTAGCACAGCAGAATACTGTGCAAGTCTTTAGTAATATTATTGTGTTTTTATATTTGAATAGCTGTATTTGTAAATTTCCTGTGAGAGCCAGTTTGGTGTGGTCGTGAAGACATCAGTCTGGAAACAGGGAAACAAAGTCAGCTGGGTAACCTTGGCCAATCATTTTCTCTCAGCCTTAAGAAGGAGGCAACGGTACTTCTGAAAAACCTTGCCAGGAAAATTGCTGAGACTTTTTTCAGGCAGCCTCCAAAAATTGAACAGGAGTTTGTGGAAGAAAAAAAATTATGTGGAAAAAAAGTAGCATAGAATATTTTGCAGAGGAAATGATCTGTCTTGGGGAACAGTTTATATTTTTCGTTATATATACAATAGACTCATTGTAGTTTTAAAACTCCAAAATGTTTTCTAATATAGTGTGATTTATAATTATAATTAACGTTCAAGTCATCTTGCCAGTACATGCAATCTTCACCCAATCTTATAAAAAGAAAAGCAGTCTACTAATAACACTTCTCTGGAAAAAGAACACAGAAAGGCTTAGATGCCTGCAATTGTAGACAATCACGGAGAAAGGCATAATAGAAATATAGTCTGTATTTGCACGATTGTTGATGTCACTGAATGTTTCTCCCATCCTTTGCTAGAGTCTGCCAGCTGTGATTCATGAAATGATTCTTAGGCGCTGACTAATTCTGTGGGTTTTTTTTCCACTCCTCTCCTACATTCTTTGGGAAACTGTTGGGTTTTAAAAAGAGGACAGCATCTGTTAAACATAAAAAACAAACTTAACAAGCATAAAGAAAATTGTATTTCTCAGTGATACGCTTAAATATTCTCTGAAGAAGTTTTTATTTCTTTTGGGCAAAGTATCCCCTATAAAGTCAAATTTGGCTTTTAAAAATATCACTTTAAAAAGTTCATATCTGTAGGATAGTAAACTAAATTAACATCTTTTGTGGACATGTTTTTTTTATTCCAGATCGTTCAGAAAGAAATAAACCAGACCATCGTTCATCAGGGTGAGATTGTTTTTCTGTTTTTGTTCTGTTTATATTCTTCTATATTGTATCAAAAAGAATTAAGAAACTGTAATTGAATGAAAATATTAAAAACATTAATTTTGCATTTTAGATTTGCCCTGGTAATTAAAGTGCATAAAGGATCACATTGAATCCTTTAAAAATTTCAAATAGGGTAAACATTTTATTGGCTCCATCTGTATTCTCTTTTTAATTCTTGCATTTATAATATTCTTTGTGTAGGATTGAAAAACAAAAAAGTGCTCTAAAATACGCAGAGCTTTAATAAGTGTGACAAATGGAAAGAATTCTACTTTTTTTTGTAACACAGGGTTCAATATGCTACTTAAAGGCCAAATGTGCCCTTTAGCCCAGAAAATTTTTGTATCCCTGTCTCAGTACATTTTATAAACTATGATTAAAAATAATTAATACTATATTGTAATCTCTGAATGTAGCCACTGAAAGATGTAGGGACATTATGGAACTTAAAATGACTAGAATGTATTATTTAGTAGCATTTATTTATTGTGTAATTAAGCATCCACATATCATTGTAGAATAGATTAGTTTATTAATTGAATAGTCTTATGATATTATCAATAAAATAAAAAATACATAATCTTATTCTGGGATAAAATAATTAAAAGGAAATATAGTGATAAAATACATATGTGGTAATACAAGGGGCGCAGGTCCTTGTAGTTAAATGCATATCTCTCATGTGAGTCTGTCTTTTTTATATCTACAATTTGCATTACAGAACATTAGTCTCTGCTCCATCTTATCTATGATAATCTCAAAGATTATAAGCAATTTAAGATACCTCTTGAAGATAATAGCACCCAGTCAGTAAATGTAAATGGTTCATAAATAAGGAAGGCAGAGATATGGTTTACTTGAAATCTGTTACAGTAACAAATGGGTGATGACAAATTGTATTTCATAAATTGATATTATATATTGATAAATGTGCTTACCCATGGATATCACTAATCAATTAATTGATTATTAAAAATGGAAAATTTTACTTCTTTATAATGATAAAGAAACACAAAAGAATTATATTCTTTTCTGATTCTCTGATTTGATTGCAGAGACAATGTTTTCTACCCATCAAGTATTTTGTTTACTTTAAACTACTGAATAGTGCCCCTTTATGATATTATTGCTAAAAACTGTTGCAGTTTTCTTACTTTTCAAGGTTGGAAATGTTTTTGACTAGGACCAGGTCATGTGTAATTTAATTAAAGGCAACATATAGCTTTAGGGCCATAGGTTGCTCAACCCTATATCTTAATTTATGTGCATTGTTATGTGCATTGTTAGTCTTTGGGTTTTTTTTTAACACAATGAATCTAGGTGCCAACAGCAAGGAATTTACTAATTACTTTACTTGATTCTTTTAGTGCATGCCTTGAGGTGACATGAAAGCTTTAATTGACCTGCTTCTCATGTAAATATTTTATAATTACTCAAACTTAGTTGAAAATGTGCAGTAGGAAATTATCAAAGTTGAATCAAGTTTATAAAAATACACCACACCGATATTGTATTGTACAATAGTATTGTGTTTATCTGTGTGACAGATCAGGACATTGATACCCTCAATAGGTATGAAATGTGACAGCCCTGTGTCGTATATTTTAGAACAGCGGTCCCCAACCTTTCTGACTTGGAGGCTTGGTTGTGTGTGGGGGGGAAGGGAATGGTTATTTGTGAGTGGCAGGTGAATGCAAGCACACACAGGTCCATTTGCGCAAATGGTAGGAGCAGGCACCCACTGCTCACACAAATGGAGCTTCACACTTGAGCGTGAGTACCTGCTGCTTGCGCAAGTGGAGTTGCACACGCAAGCACCCACCACTCACACAGCCTGGTTCCAAATGGGCCAAGGCCTGGTAGTAGGCCACAGCCCAGGAGTTGGGGGCTCCTGCTTTCCATGTCACCCCTGTAATTTACAATTTATAAACTTTAGGTTAAAGACACTTGAATATTCAGAGCTAAGAAATACCTCTGTAGAAAAGAAAGTTTTATGTGGATAAGATAACTTTTTCCATTATAATTTATATTTTATCAATTCTAATTTCTAGTATAGCATGTTTAGCATGCCAGGGCACAAAAGTCAGAAATGGTTATAAAAAATACAAATAAAACTGTAGCTTGGCTAGCTGAATTTACCAGATTTAGTTGGTTAAACCTATCAGGAATCTTAATCTTTGAGGGCATTTAGTGAGCAGTTTCTAACACAGCAGACATAAATACAAACTGAACAATTAATAACCTTGGGTAACTCACTGGAGAAGAGCCTAAAGCTGGGAACAATTGAGAGCAAAAGAAGAATGGGACGGCAGAGAATGAGGTGGCTGGATTGAGTCACTGAAGCAGTTGGTGTGAGCTTAAATGGACTCCGGAAGATGGTAGAGGAGAGGAAGGCCTGGAGGAATGTTGTCCATGGGGTCGCGATGGTTGGACACAACTTTGTGACTAACAACAACAATTTGATTGAGTGTCTTTCTAGTGAATCTTTCAGTATCTGTTAAGCATCTGCCTGAGCTTTAGTAAATCAGGGTTTCCAATATCCTGAACTGTGCAAGTAAAAGTTTCCTAAGTTATGTTTATTTGATTGTTCTTACTTATGTTATTAAAGGTCAGGCTGTTTTGAGCAATGTGGTACTTGAATGATAATGTTGAAATATACGATGTTGTGCCTTGAACTTGTACCAGTCTCTGAATGGTCAAATAATTCTATACTGAGGTTATTCTGGCAAGTCACTAAGGCATGTACTGGTAGTTGTAAAGGTAGAATAGCTCTTTAAAATGGGTTTGGATAATGTTTCTTGTATGGCACACCCTTAAAAATGGTTTTTACCCCCTAAAAGTTACATACATGTGCAATGACAGTTATAATACTTGGGAGTAAGATAAACAGTCCAGCCTTTTTAGAGCGAGTTGCAAGAGAGTTTGAAGAGCCATTTCTTAACACAAATTTAAATATTTTAAAAGATAATGAGAATTGCCATAATCTCCCTTTCCCAGAGGGGAGTAAAATGATGTAGTAAAATGATACATCATTTCTGAGTGCCTTAAATATCAGTCTATACATCCTGGGGGTGACTTTGGGTCAGTCACTGTTTCAGGCCAACCTATCTCACAGGGTTGTTTTAGGGAAAATAGAAGAAGGAAAGAGTATTAGATATTTTTTCTACCTTGAGTTGTTTGTAAAAAATAATAAAAGTGGGATACAAATAAATAAAATAAAAATATGTACAAATTAAGGTAAATATTGATCAGCACTTAAAATATGATTGCATTTCATGAGTATATCACAGGTTAGGATGTATTTATATTAGGATATAAATAAGAATTGTTTTCCTCAATGCAATATAGTAGAAATGTAATTAGAGACAGGATAACATTGAACATTTTGTTACTATAGCTATGCATACTATAGTGATGCATTTGGAAAGACAAGTTTTGAAGAGGTTGTATCACACTAATTTAGAATGTCTGCACACTGCACATTCATAAATGGCCACTCTTTTAAGCTTGTACTTCAAAATGTATAGAGGGTGTAACTCAGCTGAGTCAGGGAGAATTTGGAACAAGCTGTTACTGAGCAGAAAGATAATGTTTTTGTAGAAGAGATTCTTCCTTTTATAAAGATTTCATAATCTTAAAAATTATCTGTAATACAAAATATAAAAGAACAGCGGGAATGAGTTATCTGGATCTTAAACGTTTAAAATATGAAGTATTAACATTGTTTAAATTCTGATCAACAAAACTTATTTCCAAACACTTTTGTTTTGTAGCATTAATGTTTTAAAAATAAATTTGTTGCTATCTAGTTTTGTTGTGTTGGAATTCACAATGATTTAACTTAATTTAATGTTTTTATCCTATTGCTATACAATGTTGGAATATATGATGTTGTGCCTTAGTTTTATGTTGAAACCCCAAACTAATTTGTCCATCTGGGAGAGCTAGTATTTAAGAGCAAAACTAATTTGGTGAAGGATAATTCATCATTAATATTCTCACAGTAAATGGTTTGAAATGAGCAATAGCTGAAGATCCAGAAAACAAGCCAGTGATTCACTCCTGTGTGAGATAATAGAATTATAGGGAGTTTTAACCTCCTCTGTTATTATAAGAGCAACTGCAGATGCTTTCCTGATGTTTTTCTGTCTCCTGTATTCTGGTTTGTATTTGGGAATTAAGAGTTTAGAGAATTGCAACAGTGATAAACATGTATTGTTGATGTTGACAACAGGTGACAAAAAAATAAAAGTCCTTTTGTAAACGAGCTCTATCACATTTGGTAGATTTTATAATGCCTATAAACATTATTTTCCTCACTTTAGAAATTTCTACAAAAATACAGTACTGTTTCTCCTCAGTTCTCTGTATTTTCGTTAACAAGAGAAGGGCTGTTTGTTCCTACTCAGAGCAGGAATCTTCAAAATTATAGCAGAAAACATACCCAATCCTCAAGGGACACTCAATTGTTGACACTCAATTTGCCTTCACTTCTGGAGCTACTTATTAAGTCACGTCAGATTTTTAAAAAGGTTAGAAGCTGTAAAGTGAGGAGGGTTGCCTCTCTTTTCCTCTCTTGATGACTTGAAAGGATAGTAGGGTTCCTGAAGTGATATGGTGCATTGAATAGGAAAATAGGAAGTAAAAAGTAAAAAAATATTCTACTACAACTTCTAGACCTATTGCCTCTCATTCTTAGGTAATGTATAACCTGTATTCTTCTCCTTCATAGTATATGCATTAATCTGTTTGTAGTTAGACTTCATTACCAAAGCACAAAAAAATTATATAGATCAATTTAGTTGAAAAATGAAGCTTTTATATCGTTAGGTTAATGTGAAATATATTTCATGATAAAAAGATAGAGAAAGAGAATCATAATATGTCTATTAACATTGTATTATGTGGATTTCAGCCACCAGAAATATTAACATCCTGCTCAGAAATTTTTCAAATAACGTTTCATAGATATTTTTCAATAATTACATGCAGTCTCTTGCTTTAACAGTAACCAGAGAAACTAAATGTTTGTGGCGACAGCTGTTTTATTGTATATAATTTTCTAGGGTTGCCTGTTGTTTTTTATTTTTATTTTTTGCTAAAGTTCAACATGCATTAGATAAAGCTATACACATTAAAACAATAGAACATAAAATAGATTATATTACTTTTATATAGAATTACTTTCTCTAGCTATCAGCCTCTGGAAGAGTTAAGGTCTGAGTGATCATATGAAGGATTCTAATTTAATAATTTTATTGAAGTTTTCAATAAATATAGTTCAAACTAATGCAGACTAGAAGATAAAAGAGGCCAGAAGGTGCAGAAAAAGAAAAAATAGGAAAAAAGGCAACAAAGACAATAATAAAATAAAAAGTGCTTTTCAATCTTCATCACACTAATATACTAACATAAACTAATATACTAACTTTTCTAACTATTTTAATGTTACGATTTTTTTTTTAAAAAAACCTCCTCATAGCCAAACTTTATCTAAACACAATCCAGAAATCATCCTCTTTTCAATCATAGTTTATAAAAAAAGTATTTTAAACAGTTATCAGAAATATCAAACAAGGTTTATCCTTGGAGAAATAATTGAACTTTACATTCCTCCTTTTTTTTGTTCATAATCTTGGCCTATAAATCTAAGCTGCTGGAAGTAGTTGATTTGGAACATCAGAATCTGTCTGTATGTGATGATTCTCACTGTCCTAAATTGGTTTCTGGATTTTGGATTATATCCCAAATATAGTCCAAATATAGTAAAATAATATATTTTACCAATATATATTGGTAAAAAAAAGCCCGGGGCAAAACAATCAAAAGAAGTAGAAAACCCAAAATATATTGTCTGCAAAAATATTTATCTGTTCATTTCAAGGATGATACATTAAAGGACAAAATGAATGAGTTCAACCAGCATATTAAATTATGGTTGACTTAAAAAGGTTTCTATTAAGTTGGACTAGCCACAAACCATGAAAACTGAGTTCTCACAATAGGGAACTAACCTTAACCATACTACAGTTTCGTACAGTGTTGTACAGTATATACCAAGTTAGTGCAGAGTTAGTACTAAAGGCATCACTTCCATCCATTTTCCTGTATTTTGGTGCATAGAAACAATTGCCAGTATACAAATACCAATATCCTGAAATAACTGATAAATTGGTAAACAACTGAATGTTTTCCTGTAGGCATGTGGCAATCAATCCCTGTAGTTCTCCTTTCCATAATTGGTTTCAGTCAATCAGTGAAGAAGGAAAAATTTACAATTTTTCAGCAAATCTGCTTGTTTACAATAATTACTATAAGTAGTCCTCAACAATCACAGTTGAGCTCAAAATATCCATTGCTAAACAAGGCGTTGTTGAAATTTGCCCTATTTTAACGACCTTTCTTGCCACAGTTGTTAAATGAATCACTGCAATTGTAAAGTAAGAAACACTGTTGTTAAGTGAATCTGGCTTCCCCATTGACTTTGCTTATCAGAAGGTCACAAAAGGTTCATCACATGACCCTGGGACATGGCAACCATCATAAATACATGCCAGTTGCCAGGCATCTGAATTTTGATCACATGACCTCGGGAATGCTGCAACAGTCCTAAGTGTGAAAAAGAGTCATAACTCACTTTTTACATTGCTGTTGTAATTTTGAACAGTCACTGAAAATGGTTTGAAGTCAAGGACCACCCTAAACAATGTTTTTGAATAATTCTCTACTAAATGATCTGTATTTTTGTATAATGTATAATTCTATTTTTGTTCTGCTTTTCATTTTCTAAGCCAAGGTCCCTTGTCATCTATTAAAGCAGCAATCAAGAGAAGTAAGTAGATTTTTGATCTGTTATATCTATCTAATGAATACTGAAGAGTTGAACAAATGTTTATTAAGATTTTTATTAAACAGACTGCAGGTATTTTGGTTTTTAGTGTTTGTAAGTTGCTTCACCATTGCAGATATATTATGTTTCTTCCTTGCACTTTCTGTTACAGATATTTCAAATTCCAGGATTGATTATCATGATGACCTGATTCTTGTTGTTTAGTTTAACAGATAAATTTGTTTCTTTTTGAGCTCTTTTAAACAGAAATCAAGATAACTTATCAAAATTGTGCAAGTTACATGCAATGTATTTAGATAAAAATAAATGAGTTAAATTATTCATATCAGTTGTTTTCCTTTCCACTGAACATACCTGTTTTTAAAAAATATTGATAGGTAGAGTACTTTAAATGTATTTCTTTGCTTATATTTCATTCTCATTTTCTAGTATAAAAACCTGAGCTGGATTGCAGTGTTTGTTATTTACTCATTTTATGAAACAAGAAAATGCTTGAACTTGTATTTTTCATTTCTTTTCTGCAAGTTTGTGAGAAAGATATCAGAAGCTCTATTTTATGTTATCTGCACTTTAATAGAATATTTGATTTCTATTATGTAGTTAATCTGAACAAAGTTGGTTGAATGTATCACTATCATAAATTAAAATATGAAATTGGCCAACATTTCTTTCAATTTGGATGATGAGGAAATTTATAGTTAATCCAAAACAAACTTTTTCAAAAATTATCCTTGTAAAGGAAGAAAAAAAACAATTGTAAAACTTGCTATGGTTTGTTATTATAATGCTTATGGTTTAATGTTAATTATGAACCAAAATTAAGCAGGCTGATAGAAGTATTACATTATCACACCTGATCTGGAATCCAAAGGAAAAGAATCTGGTTCTTGCTTCTTCTGTCTAATAAATATCAATATTCAATTTATTTTTTAGATGAGCCTGTAATCATGTCATTGTATTTAGTGGTTGTAAACTATATTATGATATAGCATAGTGGGATATTATTAGCATTCATTTGATTTTAGAGTTATTTTAATAGCTGAAAGATTTGTCTAATTCTGGTGTTTTTGTATCATTTCAGTCAGTACAAATCTAAGCAGCTTACAATATCAACAGCTTAATATTATCAGAAAATAAATAAAAGTTTATTTATAAATCAACAGCTTATATAATAGCAGCAGCAAATGAATAAATATAACAATTTATAGTATCAACAGCTATATAATAGCAACAGCAAATGAATAATCATTTACAGATAACCATAACAATAATACAAATTCCATCTTATTATAATCAGTCAAGAATTGTAGAGCTTATTAATAGCGCCACCATTGTTCACCACAGGCACAATTATCCCTGACATCAGGGTTGTGAAGATCCAGGCACAAATCGCATATATCAGTGGTAGCTAAACTTTTTGGGCTCCCATGCCAAAAATTGCATGCCAGCACCCAGAAGGCAATGCGCGTGGGGACCCCACGCCCCCTGCGCATGCGTATATGACCCCCCATGAGCCCTGAGCATCTCTGCGCATGTGCATGCATCTCTCACCCTCATGCATATGTGCCAGATAGCTGACAATCAGCTGGAAGGCGTGTGGCATGTGCACATGTACAGTGGGGCTCTTCCAGGCGACCTCTCGCATACCAGCAGAAGTAGATCTACATGCCACTTCTGGTACGTGTGCCATCGGTTCACCATCACGGGTATATATTATGATATGGTGTTCTACTCCAGTAGCCCCCCCCCCCTTTTGGATGCCAGGGACTGGTTCCATGGAGGATAGTTTTTCAACGGACCGGGAGGTGGGGGTGGTTTTGCATGTTGCCTTATTCTTTTCAACAGAGTCCCCGCAGAAAATGCTTGCTTCAGAGTGTCTTCCAATTATAGTTCATATGGTTTGGACCACTGAGCAAATTGTCTGCATGAATACTTTGGTTGGATGGTTCTATTATCCAACAGATAACCAGGTTTCCAGCCATGAGGACTTTAAAAGTGATAAGTAGCACCTTGAACTGCAACCAGAAACAGAATGGCATCCACTGTAGCTCCTACCATAATTGGTCCTATAGAACTTTGTAATTCCTTTAGCATGTGTGAAACAACAATTTGTACCAGTTGTAGTCTTAGGATAGTCTTCCAGGGCAGTCCCATGAAAAATGCATAGTAGTATTCCAACCGTGAAATGATGGCGTGAGCGACTGTTGCTTGTACTTCTGGCTCCAGATAGTGAAGCACCTGGCGGGCTAGCTGCAGCTAGATAAAGGCTAACCCTGAGTACAGGTTTCACCGGCTATTCCAACAGCAGCTGAGAGTTCCGGAAGACCTACAAATTGTGGACTAGCTCTTTCTAGGGGAACAGAGCCACATGTCTACCCCAGGCCAGAGATGTGGTATGCTGATCTGTCTGAAAACTATAAGGCTTAGAACCTTAGCAAGATGGAATGGCTGATGGCTCGGAAGTCACGGACTGTCTGACAAGGCTATTATTTGCATTGTAATAACTGAAAAATAGACTATTTGAAGTATATTAATTTAGTCTTAATAATAAATTATTTGTAATGTTCTAGATAATATAATTAGGTGGCAGGCTAAATTGAGTCTGATAAATGAATACTGCTTCACTTCCTTTTCATCCCTTCACTCATAAGCATTTTTGTCAAATTCTCACATTTTTTTTACTTCAAACTAACATTGTTGCTTGTATGGAGTTGTCATATATATAAATACAACTTTACTAAAACACTTTTCATATTTCCTGTAACCATTTTTCCAATTTTCCAATCAAAGTAACTTTTCCCCAGCTTTTGGAGGGCAGGGGGAGCTGATTAAAGAGAAGAACCAAAGTTTCTCAAGATTAAAGTCTTTTTTCAGAAGATATTTTTAGGACAACTGTTAATGACATTAATAGTTCTAAAAATGTTTATCTCAATGAAAGTTGTCTCTCTTTCATGTTTTCCCTTAATTGGAATAATATTTCAGCAAAAACAATTGTAAGCATTGGAAGAAACTTTTGCCAGAGTGCACATAAGTTTATAATGGTGTCATCTTGATACCACAGTAATCTTCCCCATCTGCTTTCCCTTTCTGTACATTTGTCCTGTTTAGTCCCACTGAACACACTGATTATGTGAACATACGTACAGATAAACATTTGTGTACGTACTGAAATCTGTTGTATCCCTCCCTATATACTTGCCTCTTTTTCTTTAGAAAGAAGGAAGGTTTTCCTTTATGTGTAGTTTATCTACAAACAAGCATTTCCTTGCTTGCTCACTTTCTATTTGCAAATATACACAATCATTTCCAACAAAATCTTTAACAAAATAACATTTAATGAGATTGCTGTATGTAAAACATTATTACCTCTTCCCAGTCTGCAGTAGTTCAGATAGTATGTGACATACTGGTGAATGCTTATGCAGCAATTTTACTTAAAGTTGTTATATATACCATAAGTATGTACACATGCACACATGCATGCGTACAGGCATATTTTATTTATTTATTATTTACTACATTTTTATGCCTCCTATTTCCCCTACAAGATGACTCTGGAATTTAATTATAAATAACTGGTAGCTTTTACAAAAAGATGCACACAATTACTGTATGCATGCTTACAATGTTTTTGTTTGAAAAGGTGATAGGGAAGGTTGATGGAGAAAAGTACAGACAGTGCCTGAGTTAGGAACATGTTTTGTTCCTAATTGTCTTTAACCTGCATTTGTGTTTTAAGTTGGACTGCCTATTACTACAAATGGACTGCCTATTATTAAAACTGACAGATTGAGTTCCTTCCTTGAGCTGGTGAAGAATTGAAGTTGTGCAGTGCTTTCTGGAATTGTGGGAAACAGGCTATATATTAAAAACGTATGGCTTCGGTGATACCTGAAACCATTGCACAGCTTCAGTGCTTTGTGAGCTCAAGGAAGGCAATGCTGTCCACCATTTTTAGTAATAGGCAGCCCTTTTGTATCTATGGGTTGCCTTTAAGTTGGACATTCTTAACCTGGACACTGTATGTATGTAAAAAAAATGCTTTAGCATTTATTAGGTTTCATTGTATAGTTCCATAGCTCTGGGGAGAAAATAACAGTATTATATGTCATCACATTAGATAAGTTACACCAAGAGATTTTGAGTGACTTAATGTCCCTAAGGCTGAACAGGATTTGAAATTGGATCTCCCCACACCTAGTGTAACATTCTAATGCCCCAGAGATCCTTATCTCACTGCCAGAAAGCTTTCTAAACTCAAGGAGTTCTCTAAAACAATTTCAGTTAAGACTAAATGACTAAAATGGAAAAGGAGATTTTATTTATAAGCAGAAATTTATGCATTGATCTTAACTGAAAATTTTCTGTTAGATTCCTTATGAGCAGATTTATAATGAAGCATAGTGAGCCTTTATCTTTTAAAAGCAGTGATATATTATGATAATAACAAGAGAGAGATTCTGTTTCCCAAAGATAAATCTGTTTATCTGAATGTCCAAAACCCCAGAGAGCCAATACAACCCACCTGGCCTCTAGGCAACACACCTACAAGTACTCAAAGGCTAGTACTCAGTTTACTATATCACTCTTTCCCTATTTTACTACAGCTCTACTCCAATTATTATGGACATGTCTTCTCTGTGTAAGCCCTACTTCTGAAGAACAGTAAGTCTTCTATTGCTTTAGGCTGCTTCCAGCTATTTTAGTTTACCAAACAAGCACAAACCATCTTCCCTCTGATTCCCATACCAACACCAGCATACTGGGCTGTGTCTCTACTCAGCTTTTATAGCCACACATTGCTGGGCTATAGGTGCTGGTCATTTTGCAGGCAGCCTATCTTCTGACACTGAAGGAGAGTATAAAAGGAGCTTGTGGTTTTCCCAGAAAGAGTCAATAATAAGGAAATATGAACATCTGTTGCAAAATTGATTACTAAGATAGAGAAATCAAAGCAACGTTTTGCCATTGTAGAACATGGAAGTTTGGAGTCATTTTACTATCTTCAATGACTAATACACCCGTGTTGAAGAGTCAGGGGAAAAAAAGTACCAACAACTTCAAAATAAGGAAATCGTTTAATTCCGTTGTTTAAATAGATACAGTATAAAGCTGCTGGTTATTTTTCCCCCTTCTTTTTAAAGTCAAATTTGAATTTAAAAACTGGCATTTAAAACACTGCCAGAGTTCATTTTGTGGGGGAAATACTCTATGATACCCTTATCTAACTAACAAAGACAGTCTAATGGATCTTTACTGTTCATCTGGTTTGTTCTTTTTCCTCTTTCTTTATCTTCTTCTATAACCCTTCTTTTTCTCCTTTAGCACTCATGAATAGTGCAACTCAAATATGCCCCGTAGAAGAGGTATGTCTTTTCTCACTTCCCCGCCTGGTGCTTTGCTTCTATAAATTTTAAATGGTGCAATTAGAATAATTTGCTGCTGCATAATCAAACAATATTTTTTTGCTAAATCATGTTATCTGGAGAATATTCCTTCTACTTTGCTATTATTTTAATTATATAAGATAAATGCAAATGATTTCATTCAAATAAATTTTCAGTTATTTTAATAATATTTATAATGAGAAAATCTATAGTTAAGTCATTTTACATAATTCAATGTGCTCTAACATAATTACCTAACATAAGAATTAATTTTTGTTAGTAGTAATATTGACTGAATCTTACTGAGGCTATGCTTGGAATTATGGTATTACTGGAAATGCTCAGTCCACTTTTCGCTTGTCGTTTGAAGGCACAGACATGAAATGGGGGTCTCAGAAAAGTAGGACAAATTGATTGAATCCATCACATATTCTTTTGGTTCACATAGTATGCTAAGTCAAATCTGATGAATATATATGATGATGGATGTAGTAAAATTTGATGAATATACATGATGGATCACTAAGTAATTTCTGATTTATAAACCAGAAGTCGCTCACTTAATAATGTTAAGCCAAAATCCATATGGTTTAATTTAGTGTGTGGGTATTTCTCATACCAGACTTTTTGCTTTTGTACTAAAATGAAGTCAGATCAGGTATATGTGAATGTTAAAGACCTTAATAAATCAACCATATACAGTATATTTATATTTTAACATTGTGGGACTAATTTTGAATCCTGTATATATTATCCCATGAGCTATAAGGTATATCTAATGAAATTTCCTTAATCTCAGAGCCATAAGGAGATGCTGATCAAATGCTGGACTTAAATATTATGTTAGCAGTGGTAAAAATTAATTGTCTGCCTTTTTTTTTAAATTAGCTTCTCGGACAACTTATCACAGTGAACAGCAAAGAGAAAGAAGGTATGTTAATAGTCATTTGTAATTATTCTACCAATAAAATAAGTGTAAGAGGTGACTTATGACATATAAATGAAAATGTTGCTATAGAGCAAGGGTCTTCAAACTTGATAAGTTTAAGACTTGTGGACTTCAACTCCCAGAATTCCCAGCTAACATGACTGGAGGAGGAATTTTGGAAGTTGAAATCCACAACTCTTAAAAGCTGTCAAATTTGAAGACCCCTGCTATAGAGCAAGGGTGTCAAACTCACGTCATTATAATTTTCCAAAATATTGGGGAAAGTGGCTAGGGTGAAAGAGTTTGTTATGTGCACATATGCTGTTATCACAAAGAGATAAATCAAGTCTGTTGAGATTGAATATACAGAATACTATTGATTTTTGTGGACTCCACAATATTTTATATGTTGTGGTAATTCATGTCTTAAATGCCCAAAATTATATTGGCTGATTGTTTAGAGCAGGCAGGGCCAACCTACAGGTCATGGGGCATATATAGTATGGGACAGCTACTAATGCATCCTCACAAGGTAATAAAAATATAGAAAAACAAATGAAGTTTATTATTCATATACATTCACTATATTACATATTTTATACATGGCCCATGACAATTCTTCAATGTGGTAACGGGCAAACCAAAAGCTTGGGCAGCCATAGTTAAAACGAATCTATGAGGATATTTCAAAAATTCAAAAATCGAATTCTTGCTAATTGTAAGAATGTTGGAGGTTTTTTTTGGCCTCTTAGATATAGGAAACAAAATCAAGGTGGCAAATGGACTTATCTATGGGCGCTAATGTGTTGAAGAATGAGAAAAGGTGTTTCCCAGCAATTGAGTTAGAAAAACCCAAAATAGTGTGTAATCATAAATGACTGAATTTGGTCTTAATCTTTTTTCCCCATCCAGACGCCCTGAAATCACAATAGTTGCAGCTGAGCCACTTGGACCATCCTCCTGGTTTCCAGGTGGAAACTGTGTCCCTCAACAAGGGCTACTGTTCCAGTCAACTCATAGCCAGACACCTTGGAGAACCACTGAACTTGTTCCAGCAGAGGTGAGGAAGCACAGGATTTCCTTCTTGGTTCAAGTTGGTGTTTGTTTGAGCATTAATGTAGTGAAATAACTGTGGTGTCAGAATTCATTGTTAGCAGCATTTAGGACATAGACAGTGAGTTCAGGAGAAGAAATGGCGAACTAAAGAGGCAAAAAGTAGAACTGACGATCATGGCATAATAAAAAGGCAGCAGGTAGACTGGCTTTTGAAATTCCTCTCTGAACAAGAAGAACACTTGAGATTTCCATAAATTCTTCAGACAATTGCTTCTCATGAGGCAACTATGAGACTGCAGTCTCTGGCAATTTGGAGGTCTGGGAGATAAGGGAATACAAGGTAGTTCTAGACTTAAAACAGTTCATTTAGCAACCGTTCAAAGTTACAAGAGCACTGAAAAAGGTGACCGCTTTTTACACCTATGACCATTGCAGCACCCCCCTAGTCACGTAATCAAAATTCAGATGTCTGACATTTGGTTCATATTAATGATGGTTGCAGTGGTCAGGGGTCATGCGATGACTTTTACAACCTTCTGGCAAGCAAGGTCAATGCGAAAGCCCTATTCATTTAACAACCATGTACTAATTTAACAGCTGCAGTCATTCAATTCACAGCTGTGGCAAGAAAGATGGTGAAATGGGGCAAAATTAAAAACACTTAACAACATACATTTTGGATTCAATTATGGCTGTAAGTCAAGGACTACCTGTAATCGTTTTGCTCTAACCCCAGTTGATGCCTTCAAAAAATACTGGGTTTATATACTTACTTTATTAAGCAGTTTTGGGAATTACTTGTTAGCTGCTTTTCAATTATTAGGAACCTTTGCATTGACAAATTGTGTAGTGAGTGTCAACCCTCCTGGGTAAACCAAACAGGAAACATGATTAGATGAGCTAAATCTACTTTATTCCAAGGCTACATTAATAGAGTCTGAAAGTGCAAACTTTGCATCCTCTACTTTTAACTGCTTGCTCCGTTCGGGTGGGTCCTTCCTTAGTTTCCTCAGAGCATAAAGTGACTTGGACTGTTATTTGATTGTTTCCTAAGCAGCATCTCTTCTCCCCTTTCTTAAAGGTCACCCATGTGCATTGAGTTTCCATCAATCCTTAGCAAAATACATTTTTAAATACAAGTTTACAGCCTTAAATTTTTTTTCTGGAATAAACAGCAAAAGAGTGAAACTTTTATGGAAAAAAAACTTTGATTTTTAGAAAGTTACAAATAGATTAAGAGTCCAGATAACTTTGAAATAAAATTTTAGAATTAATTATAAGAGTCTTCCTCATGGGATAATGCTTTGGTTTTGATTTTTTTTTTTAATGATACAATTTGAGGCTTGGACATTAGAGGGAACCAAAAAGAACAAATATTACCATTAAAGGAGAAGAATTCTTCATTTTGACTTAATAATACAGGATGGAGAAAAATATTTTAACATTCAACATATTAAAGGATACTTTTTGAACAATGGACCCAGAAGTTAATTTTAAGAATATCTGCTTCTACAATAGATTGTGTTTAAAAAAATATTATAGAAGAGGAACAAGTTTTACCGGACACTGAACCGAAGCTGATTTGAAGGTGAATTTGAAGATTTAAATGACAGAATGATATGAAAAAATATTTACATTTTGCATACAAAAGAAATCAGCTGATACCTTAATAATTAATAAGGATATATGCACAACAAGCCGAGAGAGTGGCTTGGATAATTTTCCTATATAGTATTTATTTACAAAAGATGCTTGTTAAGGTGTTGAAGAATTTTGGGAGAAAAAAAAACAAAGAAAAAATTAAAAGAAACAGTTATAGAGCAAGGGTGTCAAACTGGTGGGCTGCATGCGTCATGCGCAGGCCACGCCCACCCCAGCTCTGCAAAGACAAAAAAGTCGCGATATGTCATGATACATCACGTGACATGATCGAATTTGACACCCCTGTTTTAGAGCATTATTTGAAAGGACTAAAGATCAAAATTGTTAAAAGTAAAAGGAAGGAATATAAATTTGGTTTATGTAATCATGGTTAGAACAGGTGTTATTATCTCTGATACCTCTTAATGTGCATTAGCTGATCAGGACTGAAATGATGAGATTTTTAAGGATTTGTTTTTTGATAATATATGGGATATGGGAAGAAAGAATATTTATGTTTTGAAAGAAGGTAACAAGTTAACTAAAATTGCTTATGCTTGTGATGAAGGGGGATATAATTTCGTTATTTCTCTTCTTTTTGTTTGCCATATTATTTTTTCTTTTCTATTATTTTGTATTTCCTTTTCTGGACCCTTTTTCCTTTTATTTTTTTAGTTTGTATTAGTTTTTTTAATTATTGTTGGAATTTTAGTAAAATTACTATTAAAAAGCATTTAGGATATGGACCAGGATTTTTTATATTTATAAATGCTGAATTTTTAACATGAATAGTGTGTACATTTGGTATTTTTATTTTTCAGCCACCTTCATATGAGCAGGTAATCAAAGAGATCAATCAAGTGCCAATCATCCCAGCCAGCAATAATAATGCTGCCTGTGCTGCTAATTCTAGACGTACTACTACATCTTCAACACAGACTGACTTTCAAGAAGAGATAATCAGCAATTTGCCAGCAATAAATGTGAAAAATAATATTTCCATTATCTCTGAATGCAGAAACATTCCAGGTACATTGCTGTTAATTATATTTTGAAGATGTTTAAAAGGATTGTTTTGGGTAGATTTTTTAAAAAAATTGATAGATGTATTATGCAAAATAAATGTTGAATTAGTTTCAGCTATTTTTTGTGTTGATTGACACAAAAGTCTTATAACTGAAATAAGATGGCGTTGGTATATGTAATAAAATTTAATGCACGCCACCAGGACACACTTGTACATAGGGGTGGGATGCTACCGGTTTGGCCCGGTTCTATAGAACCAGTAGCTCTAAAGAGCAGCTGACACTGAACCAGTTCGCTGTGACGACCTTCTGATCATCTGTTTGGTCCATCCTCCTGCCTGGGCTCTTGACTGTCCTTTATTTCCTGCTTTTTCAACCTCAACTACTTTGCGCAGCACAGCTGAGGTTGAAAAAGCAAGAAAGAAGAGGATTTTCAAACGCGCACCCACGCGCAGCGCTTGTCAGCTGTCCGGCCAATGTTATTTTGCAAATGCAAAACGCACTCTCACTGAACCACACCGGTTGAATCCCACCCCTGCTCATACAATTAGATTTTCAGAAATGAAATGGTACTGGACTTTTATTTGGATACTCAAGCTTAGATGTTGACATAGATATTGAGTATTGGGTAATTGAAAAGTACTGGATAATTGAAAATCTAGGAGAATATAAGCCAAAAATACTTTTCAGAAGATATAAATAAACTATAAAATATGAACTCAGGGAAAAGATCTTTCTTGCCTGTAATATCCAAACTTTAAATTCCAAACTTCTTGCAAACTGAAAATAATTTTCCAATTACTTTAAGAAGTGAACAAATATTTAGTTAAAGACTACTACAAGGACATATTTTTCAAGCTGATTTTTCTGGTAAAAAAAATGTAGATTAATTTTTATTAACAAAATGTTACATATGTATTGTTGATGATCCTCAATTATCATGATTGAAATGACCAAAAATACTTTAAAGAATCTTATTTACACAAACTGTTTATCAGCAAGTAAATTCTAATGCACATACAATTATTTTAAAAGTCATATCTGGTTAAGATATAGTAGTGAAAAATAAACATTAATAGACCTAGTTAAGATATAACCTAATCAAAGTTCTTCCCAAATTAAATAAATTCTAGCTTATGTATGAATTAACTGAATCATTTATATTTGTATATAAATAAAAGTACTTATGAGGTTTGAAATATAATTTTTGCATATGTTTTCAAAATGTGCTTGGACACAATACACAATTTCTATAAGTTCTCACATGAAAGTAATTTACAATCTGTTTGCTCTTAGCACTGATACATTCTGTAGATAAATGATTCTATGACTGCAGTATGATTCTATGCAATATTTATTTTAAAAACTATTAGCCCAATGCAGTGGTTCTCAACCTGTGGTCCATGGACCCCTGGGGGGACGTGATGTCATCAGAAGGAGTCTGTGAAGGCTTGAAGAAATGTTATGATTTAAATTTTGAATTAAGTCTTGGTAGGGGTATTTAAAGGGTGGGGTGTGGTGAAGACAATATTGAAAACCACTGGCCTAAGGTGTTATTTGATGTTGCAATCTTTCAATGAAACCTATTGTGTATGTACATTGCTTTTTTTTACAGCTACACATACTCCTCAGAAGCCACCCAGACCTTCATCATCTCTGATAAACAGCAATCTTCCCATAAATGAACAGCTCTTAGTTATTTTAGAAGACCAGACGTCTCAAGAGAAGTCTAATGCTGCGGTATGTCCTGTGCCAAAACCAAGATCAAAGGGCAATCTGAAACCAGTGGCTAAAGACAATCAAGCAAACAATCAGGAACAAAAGAGCCCATCAAGCAGTGAAAATAATGAGTTAATTAATTCTTTGATGTTCCTACTAGACAATAACCTTGAGGAAAGTCATATAGTAATGGACAACATGGATACAGACAAGAACCAAGGTAACATATTATCACGGATTAAATCATTTGAAATGCAAGGGAATGTCGAAACTTCCGGACTAACCAAGAAACAGGAAGTATCTCCTCGCTCATTAGGGCCCAAACCTATCATTAGTGCAAAAAAGCCTGTAGTGGCACCAAAGCCAGGCATTAACAGAGCATCAGGAGAATGGGAACAAAAAGCTGCCTCCCTTCAGACTGAGGAAGTTGGGAGCAATATTACAACCAAGCCTGAATTGCCAAAGAAGCCAACATTAGTGACTGTAAAGAGGAATAATAGCAATGGGCTCCTTAATTCGGGAAGTGGATCAGCTTTGGAGAATACTGATGGACAGAGAAAAGTTCCCATTCCTGCTCCTAGGCCGCTTCTTCCCAAGAAGTCAGTCTCTTTTGAAAGTCCTTCTTTTCCTATGCTTCCCCTGAAACCAATAAGTACTGTTCCCAAGCCCTCTGTAGCTGCCCAATCAAATGCTTTTAGATCCCCAGGGGAGTGTTTTCCAAGCAGCGTTACACCATCTCCAGTACAAAATATTAGTTCTGCAGAAGGAGATCTGATCAGCTTTGACGACGATGTTTTATCCTTTAACTCTGCCAAGGCTGTTCAAGAAATTTCTCATTCAGAATCAGGTAAGCTTTAAAAAGAGAAAATGAGCTTTTGTTAAAAAAAATAGTTTCAAGTTGTATAGTAAATGCAGGTGAATTTTAATAGCAACATTAGGTGTGTATACAAAAATTATGTAACCAAAATTTATCTGCAAATGTTTCTATGATGGATTTGGTCAAATGCATTGGTGAGTTTTCCAATTGAGGTCTATGGTATCAAATGCCTATTAAATATTACAGTGTTCCTATTTGACTTTAGCCTCCAAATACATGCTTTGCAGAATTACTGGTTTTTTGTTTGTTTGTTACTATCTTCATGTTCTCCAAGATAACAGAAATGTGATAAAAGTAGATGTTATTAATTTGAATTATGATAATAGGTCAAAGACTCCAGATAAGCTTTCAGGTTATTTGTGTGCTTAACTTTAAGGAAGCTGTACTCTGGAGTGGCCCTCCTTATCTTTGATTTGTTAAAAAACATGTGCTTGAATTACAGCAAAGGAAAACATTGTTTTGAAAATACTACAGTAAATACTGTAAATTGCAAGAAACTTCTGTAAATGTTTCAAACTAGGTAACATCAGGTCAGGAACTCAAACTCCTGATTAGCATTGATGATGTTACCTAATTTGGGTAATGAAACATCTGCAAAAAAAACAACCCAGCTCAGGGAGCACCAAGGACCCTGAGCTATATTCTTCATTATTTTATTCTTTCTGTTCTGCTGTCATTATTCCTTTTGTTGCTTATTTATCTGGATCCCCTCCACCATTTTGAAGAGGAGGGAAAGACAATATATAATATTGTGTAATAGATTTTATATTATTCAGTATAGTAGTAAACTATTAATATTTTTTCAGATTATTCTTAAGGCATAAGCATGCACATATTTGCCTTGATATATTTCATAATAATTTACTTTACATTTTCTCAAATCCCAAACATTAAAATTTGTAAATATTTGGTCTTCTTTGAATTATGAAATTTTAGTTATTTCAAATACTGACAGAATTATCCTTATTCAGAATTTACTTTTACAAAAAATGGAACTGAATATTAGTCTGTAATTGTACAGAAAAAACAGGCACTGGGTAATAGTTGGGTTTTTTTGAAATTCAGTTCAATTACTTTTTTATTCATAAGGCTTGCATAAAAATAATATGTTTAAGGTCTGATAATAACGCTCATGAGCGATCTATCAAAGAGGTTAAGAGCTAAATAAATATACTTGTATGACTTTACATGTCAAACCCAAATTGTTGTAAAAGTTATTTGCAATTCTGGGAATCACTCTGAACATTTCTGAAATTTAATAAGCTAATTATTGTTACTAGAAATGCAGGTGGACATACTGATGCTAATAATTAGCTGATATAAGTACTATATTAGCTTTAGTAAATTTTTAGCTCTAGAATGTTAGAAATAGACTACTTTTGTGTAGATCTGTGTATATTAGAAATATAGTTTTATATACTGATTTATGAAAGATTTTCAACCAGTGTATAGCAAATGTCCCAGTCAAAGAAAAAATCTTATTATGTTTAACAATGTTTATAGGCAGATTTTTAAAGTAGATAAATAGTACTTTATTTGTACAAAAATAAAATGGTACTGAAAAAAAAACTGATTTACTATTGAAGTTCTAGTTAATTTAGATACCAAAGACTGAAGGTTACAATTTACTTTAAAAACTATGGAACTGGTTTGTAAATTTAAAACCAGACATTCCTGCAGTTATTTTCATCCCATCAAAGCTATGAGTGTGAAAATTACAATTATGAGAATAGTTCTTCCTTTCTGTCTGGTGTGATTCTTGTGGTAGCACTCAAACTAAGTTCATAGGGTGATTGGCTGAAAAGTTCACACATCCTCTCTCAAAACTTTCTGGACTTCACCCTCTGGTCCCACCTCCTTTTCTGGGGTACTGGCTTGATAATTCCTGCTGTCACCAACTCTGTTCAAGAGGTGAGAGAAAGAGGCATTGTGGCTTTGTAACCTCTCCTTTAACTTTGAGTGTGAGCAAAGGGTTGGCAATTAAGAAGGTAAACATAAGAATACGAGAGTAATTGTACCTCCTGGCCATATAGCATCAAGACAAGTGACTAGATGTGATGTCATTCCATTTCCACCACTTCCATCCTGGGAGAAAGAGTAAATAAAAAAATCTTACAAGAGTAAATAAAATAGTTTTGTCTATGTCTGTGTCTATATATAAATTTATACAAACTCATGGCTTATGTATTGTTGCCAGAGCTAGTGTACAGAGTTGGTGAATTACACCAGCTGGCAGATAATTTAAAACTCAAAAATTCAAAAGACCACAAGATGGTACTGATCTAATCTTTTATTTCCAGATTGAGCACAACAATTGTTCCCTGGAATTTCTAGAGAATAACACTTTTTTCTACTCGGGAAAGAGAAGGGCTGGTGCATTTGCCTTTTCTTTATGTGAACAAAGTCATGCTTTCCAATGTATATTCACTGTCTTAGTAACTGGCTGTAATTCCTGTGAATATGGACTGTCATCGTTACATTGGCATTGTGGGAAATCTGATTATCAAGTTGGTGCAGGCCTATCCAGAACTGAAGAATGAGATAACTGGCAATGGAAAGAGGCTTTTGTAGTCTTTCAGTGTGAAGCCAGATATGACAGATGTTATGTGTGTTTTGGAAAGCTTTATAGGAAGTAAAAAATAATAATAAACCAAGAAAAACTTCAAATTGCCAAAAAAAGCAAGCTCAGCAGCCAAAGAATGTTCAGGGCAAATTGAAAAAAAACAACAACAACCCTGAGAATGAATGTGAGTGAAATGCTCTGTTTGGAGGGAAGTAGTCAAGCCCTAATAGCAGTTCCCGACCAAGGAAGGAAGATTCAGAGAGTCTTCTTAATCAGGCTTAATGGAAGCGCTAGATTGAAAAAAACTTTGAAAACTAATTTAAAAAAAAAATACTCATTTATTATTGAACCTTTTGAGGAGAGGCTTGTGTGAGTTATTTGAATTCAATTCTTCAAATTCCATAACTGATTGCAGATGCCACACATAACTGATAAGGCTGAAATGTCCATCTGTTCCTCATTTGCAATATTTTGAAAAACGCTTATCTTTAATAGAAAATTCCCTTATTGAAATTTACTGTAAACTTTAGACTGTGTGGTTGGTGTAGGTATTTCTTTCAGCATACAGCCCTAGATTTCTATGAGCCTTATTGATGTTTCCCCTTGAATGGAAACAGGAAAAAATGCTGTGTTTTGCATTTTTCTTAGATCTTACCAATTTGCCATCCAAAGTTGAATCTGCAAAAGAGCAACCAGTTCAGCCAGCTGTTGTGCGTAAACCTACTGTAATCCGAATCCCATCTAAGCCAGCAAAAGGTAATATCCATAATATCCATCCATCCATCCGGTATGCAACCTAGGATCTTGACAAAGCTATTTTTGCCTAAAGTTGTTTTTGATAGAACGTATTTACCTTAAAGGATGATTTTTCTAAATTTTAGACAAAACCCTGAAAAAAAGAATATTTTAAAAAATTATAATCACAAACATAATTCTCCCTCTCTCTTCTTGCTAAACTTGGCTTGCCAATTCTAAATGAAACAAAACTTTATATTTCATACATGTTCAGATATTTATATATGTGTATTTAATTTTGGAATTCAGGTTTCCTTTTCTCAAGGCTCAAGTAAACCATGAGTCAATTAGAGTTGAGCAGCTAATCAAATAAATAATAATTCAATACTTACTCCCCTCCTTCCTTCTAGGAGGAACAGAAAAAAAGTAGGGAAAACCAGAATGGAGATAGCAGTGAGTATCATATCTATACTGGGGGGGAAAAGGAAGGAAGGAAGGAAGAAAGAGAGAGAAAGAAGGAGAGAAAGGAGAGAAAGAAAGAAAGAGAAAGGAGAGAAAGAAAGAAAGGGAGGGAGGGAGGGAAGGAAGGAAGGAAGGAAGGAAGGAAGGAAGGAAGGAAGGAAGGAAGGAAGGAAGGAAAGAAAGAAAGAAAGAAAGAAAGAAAGAAAGAAAGAAAGAAAGAA